ACTGATTATGTTGCAATAACATTCCTCTTTTTAATTATAAATAATAAATTTTAAATTTTTTGATAAAATTGCCATTCTATTAGAGTAAACAGTCTGTAAAAAACCATTACACCCTACATACCTAATAGCTCTAGAAGTGAATTGTTTGCTCTAAATAATAAGATTAATAACCTTAATAATCTAGTAAAACCAAGATAATACTTTAAGACTAAACCTGTATGTATCGAGTTTATGTATATCTTAATACAGGGTGGAAAAGAAAGTCACTTAACATCCCATTGCTGCAGAATGTACCCATTGAACATATTATGTAACGTGCATAACTTTGTAACCGTTAGAGGTAGGTCAAAAATATCTTTCATAATCAATTCCTTGTGAAATTCTCACCTTAAATGATGTGTTATATGACCCCATTTTCATTTACAGTTTCGGAATTGCATTCAATACTCACGTCAGGGGTGGTGAGGGATTGAGACATACATATTCGGAATAGAGGTTTTATTGTATAGATATAGTATATTAAAATATATTTTAAAATAGAATCCGTAAGAGTTGTAATTCCGGATTCCTCCATCCGGCAAGAGATTTCCTTTACAATTGGATTTCAGGATGACTTTTACAACTCGGTTTTTTGCAACGAAATAATGACGCAATTTCTGGGATATTCCTCGAGGAAATTACTATAAAACTGTTATATATAAATTAAGAAAAACTTCTGTGTTTTCAATTCAAGTTTCGTAGCTTCGAACGTCATAAAAGTCTGTAGGTTAATTCCACTGGTGAGTAAATACGATCATTGTTTTACTTAATTACACTTTAAAATACTCTTTATGACTAGCAAAGAGTTATAATTTTAAATACAGTAAAACCTGTATTCGCCGGAATAGTCGGGTATCAAATATTCTTCCGTTTTGCAAAGGTTTTAGCCTACTGTATTTATAATTATAACACAACAAAATAGTAACTTATAATTTAGTATTTTAGCATTTATTTTTATATATAGCATTGATAAATTGACATTTATCATTTCCGTTAACGATAATTAAATTCCTGAAAGTATATCTACATAGATTTTATATGTATTGTAAATTATTTACAATATAAAAATTTAATATCATATTATAGTAAAACCTGTCCACAACGGACCCTGCTTTAACAGGAAAAAATTCTTCGTAACTGAGCGATTTTTCTCTTTAAAAAAATAAACCTGTTTAAAACGTAAACCTGCCAAATCCGGACGATTCCGGTTTACACAGGTTTTACTGTATCATGTTTTTTTTTTTTTAATTAAATATTAAACATTATCATTAATTCTATTTTCTTCTTCGCAGTTGCAAAACCTCATCGTGAGAAACCCAACATTATAACTTTCTTCTATTGTAAAGAACGAGCAACAAGTGAGCCATTATGCGTTTTGCCATGGTGACAATCCTGTTTTTCGTGGTGCAGTCGGCACTGGTGGAGAGTCGAGGCAATCTGAGATCTCGTGCAAGGGATTATAACAAGAAAGTAAACAAAGAAGGTTCTTGTTCCAAACCATCGCGTACGTTGATACCCGTGAATAACGCACCGGATAAAATCTTCCTTCCTCACTGTGCCATCTTGCACAGGTGCTCTCAAGATTCGGGATGCTGCCAGAGTGCTACAAAAGTATGCGATGCCAAGAAGACGGAACTCGTCAAACTACCTTTCTTGGTCAGTGAGTTGATGAGTGATGGCTCTCATGGTCCTTTAAAGCCAATTGCTCTTACTTTCGTTAACCATACGGAATGCGCTTGTAAGAGTCAACTTGCTTGAAGTAACATTATCCGTTTTAGACATGAACAAACAACTAATTCGAAACTAATGTGTTGTTTCATCTTCAACTATTTACAAGAGTCCGAATAGGACGCATCCATTATATTTATTTCTAATCATAATTTATGAATATTTATTCATTTGTAATATAAAAGTTGACGAAATAAAAATATTAATATAATTAAAAGTTCTTTTGCTTGAATCATAAATGATTGACGTCCACCGGTGGCCGAATGGATACAACCGAAACCCTGTAGTTGTCGTGGGTTCGGACCTTATCACACGCTGGCCAGGTGAAATTTTCCGGGTTTCTTCCAGTATTTACACCTACGACACGGAAAATCTACCCGGAAGACATTCCTTTCCTTCATAGATCTTCGCTGCATTGCCTTGTTCAATCAATTCAATCCAATGGCAAAGAATTCTTTCCTAGTGTTTAATGTAAAGTTGCTTTTTATATCAAGAACTACTTATACATACTTTTACATAAGGGTGAATACAAAGCAGTAAAGACGTCACCCAGGAATTTTTACTTGGGGGTCCCAGTCTCCGTTATCCGACACCCCCAATTATGAGTCTGGCCGAACATTTTAGTGCTATATAATTAAATACAGGCGTAAATACATTCGTTTATATTGTAGCCCACGTTTAGTGCTGTTTTAATTAAAACATTCTTCTATAAAAGATTCGTTATAATTGATAAAAAAAAAGAGACCCGAAAATGCATTTAAAATGTCATCCGTATAGGGATGATCTTTGATATTTATATCTCTATCCGGAAACAGAGGAGTTCGACGAATTGTTATCTGGATGACTTTTAAAAATTCGAATTATTTTTAACGAAATTACTAAGCAATTTCTGGGATAATCCTCGATGAATCTCTGTAAAAATTGCATTACGTGAAACACAGAAGTCGTTATTTTCCGTCGACACTTAACGTCACCAAAGAAAGTGTAACAGTTAAGTTTATTGGTGAGTAACTACGATCGATTTTCTCTTTTTAATTTTGCAGTCGAGTATTTTAGAATATGCTTTACGTGTACACACGTAACAACAGATTGTTTTTCAACACCGTGTACTTTAGATTATCCAATTTTATAAAATAATATTATTTTTTCATATTAAATTTTCTTCTATGCAGTTCCGAATCTTCGTTGTGAAGCATTCTACACCATCATTTTCCTTCTAAACTAAGAAATGTACAGCCAAGGGTTTCTGGTTATTGTGTTGATGCCGTGTTGCGTATCTCAAGTCACTTCAGAGAAAATACAATTGGACGAGTCCGGAATGCAAATCTTTAACAAATATCTAAGGAATCAAGCAAAAATATATGAGGGAACCGTAAACACAAAAGGTGCCTGCTCTAAACCGGTGCGTAAATTGATACCCGTCAGTAAGACCCCCTACAAAATCTATCGTCCCCACTGTGCCATATTGCATAGATGCTCTAAAGACTCGGGATGCTGTCACAGTGATATAAAAATATGTCAAGCCAAAAAGACGGAATTCGTCACTCTACCTTTCTTAGTAAGCGGATTGATGAACAATGGCTCTTACGATCGTTTCAAGCCCATTGCTCTCGATTTACTTAACCATACGAAATGCGCATGCAAAAGCGTAATTAATTGAAGTATGGTGAAACCTCGATTTAACGTACTAATTCGGGCCGAGGATATCCGTTAAATAGAGGTTTTACTTTATTTTTAAGCTTATAGAGCTTTATACAGTCATATATATATGATACTACTGTTTTTAACAATAGTTGATGTATAAATAATCTAAACAATGTCAATAATATTACTGTATTTCTAATAAATCATTAAAACAATTAGCATTTTACACTTAAATAACTGATAACAATTGCTTGTTATTAGATATTGTTATGTGCAATTGTTATATGTAGCACATACTGAAGACGTGAGCCCAAAATGGACATTCGCCCGAATGTATTGATAACAATAACCGAAATATTCGTGTAGTTAGTTCCAGTTTTGCATCTAAAGGTGTACGTGGTAAATGCCACATTCCTGGTGGTTGCAGTGATTATTGCAGAAAACAGACCAAAACAATGGGTTTGTGTAAAAAATCCAAGTGTTATTGTACTAAATACTAACTTCTGTATTTAAATCAATTATCATATTTTTATGATAATTGTGTCTGAATAAATAAAATTAATATATTTCCGACTTGTTATGTGTATCGTACTGTACTGTACATTATAAACACAATACGAATTATAACTGCATTATAATAAGGAAAACTCTTTGATGTGTCTCGAGTTTGAATGGGATTCTTAGAAGTTGCTTCTCCTTAGGATTCTTAACAATTTCAAGTCGGATCCTTTGAACTATATCTTTGTTCTTACTTTCAAAGGATTTATTAACTTATTTTATTATAACATTTTAAAAGTTTGAATAGACAATTAAACGGTAGATTTGAGGCTCAATTTAGTAATTCATTGTCTGGTAACAATTTAAACAACATTAAAACTTTATTATCTTAAATTAAATGTTATAAACAGGTTTTATAAAATAATATAAACTCGAATAGAATTTTAACTTTTATTTCCACATATAATTATGAATTATAATCGAAGCAATTATAGTAATTACGCGCCCTAATTTTCTTCGATTAAATTTATTAAAGAAAACTTTATAATTTGTGTGAAATATGAGTAATATATAATTATATTTTGTATATATATATATATATATATCTTATATTACCTTTCAGTAAAGTAATACAAATGAGTTTTTGGTCGTTTATCTTTGTTGTGGCATTCCTGATTTGCATAATGTTAAGTAAGATAAATATTTACTTATTCTTTAAATAATTAAAGTTATATTTACTTAAATACTTATTGAAACGTTACTTCTTGTATTTTCAGTTATTCAAACTTTGGCATTTAATTGTGACAATCACGAAGATTGTACGTTGCTTTGTTACGACACAATAGGAACGTGCGCTAATGGAAGATGTACTTGTACACGTTAACAATATTGGATTCTGTAAAGGATAATCATGTATACTGATTAAATTATTCTTAAATCTTTGTAGACGTTATTTGGTCTGTAAAGAAACTTGGAAGTTGAAGGTAAACACGTCAAGCACGTTCTTTGAAAATACACGAGTATTAGTATATATACAGTAGAACCTCGATTATCCGGACCTCTATTATCCGGTTTTTCGATTATCCGGATTGTTCAAAATAAACAAAAATTTTACGAATTTGCTGATTTGCACTTGGCGAATTACGACACTCTTTATGTACTGTACGTGATGGAATGCATAACACTTTTTGTTTCAACAACGTCTCACCCGGCACAGTGGTCATAAACTCTTAAATATATTTTGCGTCGTAATAAAAATATAACTTGACATACGTATTTATAAATAATATATATTCAAATTACATCATTTCTATGACCCAGGGCAAAGTAAGGCATGGGCAACGTGGGCCATCGCCTATGCCTCGCAATCCGAAGGGCCTCGCGCCTCGAAGGTTTATGCATTACTTAAAAGCCGCGAACGCCACGAAAAAATTTTACTCGTCATAAAACGATAAATAGTTTGTCAAGTTTTTATTCATAAAAATGCAGTTTCGACTGCTTTTTATTTTATAAAATCTGTCTTCTTGCGCTACCAGAGGGCCTTTTAAACAATAGGTAGTGTGTTAGCGCTGGTCAGTAGTAGACCAAATTCAATACGAACGTTTGTTTCTTGAAAATTTGATCACGATTTAAATACAGTATTTATTTTTAATATTACCGATATGTCATCGAAAAGAAAACGTGTTGTATTATCATTAAAAGACAAATTAAAGTATTTGTTTCGATTATCCGGATTTTTCCTTATCCGGACTACCTTCATCCCCCAATTAGTCCGGATAATCGAGGTTATACTGTATTGCTTATTGTTTAAAGACAAACTGGATCTTTTAACTTCGTTTTCGGAGTTCCTGGTGTGGTAGGGGCTATTTCGGCTTAATTACCACTAGTAAGGTCGAGTTGAAGAATAATTGATTTATAATATTAATTAAAGTGTAATAAAGTGTAATATTAATTAACAATCGCTGTTTTATATTAATCGTGCGAATTTTATAATCTCCGAATGTTCAAATTATTAAAAATTTATTAGTTATTGGCGGCCATTCTAAGATCGTTCACAACTTCCATCAATGTTCCGAGATGAGTCGTTGAAGATTATATCGCGAGGATCACTGGGGTGGACGACATTTATGTTTCTCTTTCTCATTTACGTCACTAAGAGTTCTAACATACCACGAATACTTGTCTTCGTCATAATTAGTGTATAAGTTACTGCTGTTTACATACACAATATGGCTACATTATTACTTATATTTATACTTTATAAAAATACTTATCCAAAATAATCTTGAAGGAAACGTTGCAAAAACTTTCAGTTACTACTACTTTTATATCTTGAATTAACCAAATTTGTATATGAATAATTCAATCGTACGAAATAATCTCATCTCAGCCACCACCCTCTTATTGTGGTGTAAGCGTGTGCACGAATACAATTCTCCTTGAACTACTTGGAATGTATAAAAAGTACAGTAAAAGGTCCGTATAAAGTCAACAGTCACTTAATTCGTTACGTAAAAGGTGCAATTCAGTCTGTACGATGCTGTTTCTGCCTCTCTCAACATCCGAGCGTGCTTAAGTGTAAACATAAATTAGTGGGGGGATTGAACGCATTCTGTCCAAGTGACGTTTACAGATTCTATTCATAATATTAATAAGTAATTTTTGTAGAGGAAGATTTGAATGATTCTATTATTATTATTTAAAGATAACAAACGTATATAATTTTGAGGGACTTTCTTATATTTGTAGTAATAACCGGTTGATAGAATTAACCGGAAAAAAGTAAATATGATTAAAACTATTAAAAATACTGTGTTTAGTGAGTATGACGTTAAAAAGACACGTTAAAACGAAAACACTTCTATTGCGAATTTATTAATTATAATTATTCTTAAGAATTAATAGTAATTCCGCAGAGTTGTTTTCTTGCTGTTTTTCGCATACCGTCTTTAACATTAGCTACGTATAATTAAATTTAACAATGCCAACGACTTAACCGCTTTGTACTGAAAGCAAATAACGATTAAATACCGCTTACGATCGCGTGTCATTTGTTGTCTTAACAAGTACTTTAAATGGTTTCTTCATCATCCATTCGTTGATAGCCCCAAAACGCAACACAGAAATGGCTATTTCTCTGAAGACAAACGTTAATTATAATGGAAACTTCGATTACAATGAACGAGTTGTTATAATTAAGTTTTAGCATACAATATTCAATACGGAGAGTGGAGTGATGGAATAAGACACGCAACACAAAGACAATCTGTCAAGGTTAGAGTGCTTCTTGGGTGAACTTCGATGAAAAACTGGCACCTATTTAAGAATTACACAAGTGAAGGAAACATTTCAATTTCCACTAGATTCAACCCGTTGGTCGGGGGCGAACTCGTGACCAACGCTCGGTGATTTCATCCACTCTGCTGCCGGTGAACAAGTAGTCGTTGGGAAACACTGCGACAAAAATATTGCATAATTACACACAAAGGTTGTTGATTAGTGATGTGCCGGATCATTAAAAATGTATATCCGCGGATACGGATACGGATACGGATAATTAGTGTCTAGATCCGCGGATACGGATACGGATACGGATCTCAACTTTCGTACTCAGTCGGCGCCGATGCGTGTGACCTTGGATCGATAGTTGACGCTTTGCGTTAATAACGCGACGTGTTTTGACTTGCACTGCGCGTGTTTTTGTTTATAGTGTGAAAGTGTGCTAAATTAGAATTCACCACAAAGGCAGACAGGATAAAGTAACAAAAGCTGATATAATTTTCCAATTAAGCTATTTCGCGTCTTTATAAAGATTCTATTTCGGGGAATTCCAACTTCACGGTACAAACAGTAGCATGCGAAATTACAACGATAATATTAGTTCGCTGTATCCAAAGCACGTGTACAATACAGATCCCGATCGCAACAATATAACCCGGAACCTTAAAACTAACCTTAAACACGAACTTAACACTAATAACAGAAAAAGGGATAGAATTAAGAAGACAGAAAAAA